AACAGTCGATATTCAATGGCGCGTGTGGGACCCGGATGTGCCCATTTTCGGGGTGCAATAAACGTCTAACCCCCTGTTGTGTCGTTCTCGCTACAATAGGAACTAAGCTCATGAAATTTCCGATAATAATACGCACGAAAGGACATACGTTCTCAGATTCATCCAATGTGATGACAGTTACAAATGTGGCGCCAAGTACTTTTCAATACTCCTGTAGTCTATCACAACAATCATAACCATATCCACTTTCTTCAATACAAAACATTCACCGACTTAACATGTGTACAAAATATATAGCAGAACAAGTATGCTAATATGTCGCGCATGTATCTGTTCTGTTGGTGTTATAAGGAGTGTATATTTGTTCCCTGGCGGGAGAGCCTATGGTGCGCTGAGGCTGGTGGTGGCTAGATCCTGACAGATGGTCTACCCACTGCTGCTACTGCTGCGCCATAGTCTCATGTCCTGGGCGCTTCCACGTGGCGACCGCTGGGTGGGTGTTAGGTTTCGCCCTTCTCCCTGCTAAGATCCAGGACACCAATCCGCATGAGTCAGCTAACTGACTCATGTGCTAGACCCGCTGCCTTTCGGGTGTTCATTTAATCGAAGGCTTTGGCTGAGGACCCGAGTCGTTCTCCTGTCAGGATTGGGCGCCCTGGCAGTATCCTAGTCCATCCTCTCCGGAGGTTAGGAAGTGGTCGATGGCCCACTTCCCGTAAAACCTAGCCATGGGAGACAACAGGTTACGGGTGATATTATCAATGCTCGATTGGCGTAGAGCACGAATGCCACGCATTGTCTCTGACGGTGGGAGGACACCTCCGGGTGTTCAATGGTTTGCTACTGCCTGCCTCAAGCCAGGCAGCCCCTGGTCAAATTGGTGCAAACCCGCCAAAAACCCACCTGCGTCTGGCCGTGGTCGCAGGTGCGTATCCAATTACGGTCGCAAAACATATGATAACTGTTCCAGAACCTCAAAGGCTGCGTGTGACGGCCGTCAAGCAGATCCCAATCTGTCTCTGCAATCACATTCCCGAGCTGGATCTGCTCTCCACTGCCTTGTGGGTTAGGCTATTGAGCCAAAGGCTCCGGGTGGAGTCCCTCAGGCAAGCCTCCAAACCACCCACTGCCTTGTGGGTCAGGCTATTGAGCCAAAGGCTCCGGGTGGAGTCCCTCAAGCAAACCTCCGAAGGACAACGACCACCTCGCGTGCGATTGCCCACCAATGCAATCGTATGCCTGCGCGCAAAGCACTCAGCATCGGGTGCTGGAACGTGCGCACACTACTGGACCGGAACTCGAGCGAGCGCCCGGAGCGACGCACTGCACTGGTCGCAATGGAGCTGGCGCGCTACCACATCGATATTGCGGCGCTCAGTGAAACTCGGCTCGCTGAGCAGGGTAAGTTACATGAAGCAGGTGCTGGCTACACATTCTACTGGGTGGGGAACGCCGCCTCAGCACCACGTGAACATGGGGTCGGATTTGCAATATCCGACCGCCTGAATGGCCAGCTGGTGGGTGAACCAACGGGCATCAGCGCGCGGCTGATGACTGTTCGCCTACGACTCGGAAGAGGTAAGTTTGCTACTTTCATAAGCACGTACGGTCCGACCATGTGTTATCCTGATGACACGCGTGATCAGTTCTACACTGAGCTATCCTCCGTGATACGGTCTGTGCCGAGCAGCGACCGACTATTTCTGCTGGGTGATTTCAACGCGCGCGTTGGGCGTGATGCATCAGCGTGGACAGATGTTATCGGTTCGCATGGCATTGGTTCAGCGAATGCGAACGGTGACA